GATAGGGGGTATTTGCATTGGTTTAGTTACATTTGGTGCAAGCCCAAATCCCTGCATAGACTCTCTCATTTCAGTTTAAAGCATCTGGTTTTATTCAATCATTAATAGGTTTAAGCAAAGTTTCAGTCCGGGTCTGCTCTGCTGGGTGTAAACTGGGTGTTATGAATGAGCCTGCGCAATGTTCTGGACCTGGTTAAGGTCTACATTGCTTCTCAGCCTCTTGAAGGCTCAGATCAAGCATTGCATTGGTGAAACACTGCAAGCCCCAGTGCCCTACCGCAACAACACCCAGAGCCCAGCCCCAACAGGAAAAACAGCAGTGGATCCAAACTGAAGTGCCTGAAACTGCTGGGGTATTACGGGCCAAGGGCAACAAGGAGATGTGCACAGAAGGGTAGGAAAACCCAGAGCGGACAGACTGGGAAAGTCCATCTTGCCTATTCCTGCATTCTACAGCAGAAAGTGCCAGACTCCCAGAAAGGTTTAGGACCCCTACAGCAGGCCAGTGCAAGATATTCTGCTTCCACAAGGGTGAAGCCCAAGTCCCAGATTAGAGACTGGCCAAAAGCCTGAAGCCCAACCCCATCTTTCCCCTTCTAAAAATCTGACCCTTACTCAGAGACCAGAAACCAGGGGACAAGCAGCAAAAGAGAGGCACTAGATTTAAAGGAGAAAGAGTCAACTCTTTTTTCCCACACAGGAGCACATCTAATTCCACACATGAGGTGCATAAGTGGATGTAGGCACCTAAGGATGATTCTATTTCACCCTGCTCCAAGTCCTTAAAAAAACCCATTAATACACACAGGGTCTCTTGTCTTTGCTGCTTTTTGTGACTTGCTCTTAACTTTAAGAGGCGAGTGGACTGGTATAAAAGTAGGGGTGTTGAGGGCTCTTCAGGGACTTGAGCAGGCTGCAGGAGGATCATACTTAGGCACCGCATTGGTAGAAAAAGGTCCCCATGGGACACTTGGCCAGCAGAGCTCACTATCACAAGAGAGCTTGAAGGCCAAGAGCTCTGTGGGGCTCCAGAGCAGGACAGGATGGGATGTTTATACAGCTGACAGAAGCATCCAGGAGACACAACAGGACGGAAGGATGATTTTCAGAAAGGCTGGAATCTTCACCTCCCCTAAGCCATCAAGTTCCAATTCAACAGTTTCCCAAGTGCAAGTCCTATACAGAGCCTAAAGGGGGAAGTGTA